GAATCCATTCAGCCGATCTCCGGGTCTGGCGGTAGCACTTTTGCTGTAGCTTAGCATAGATCATTGAATCTATGCAGCAGCAGGCGCAATGATATTACGCAGCGCCTGAAATAGTCCCCAGCTAGGTAACTTCCAATAAGCCTATTTTCAGGCGCTGCGTAATATCATTGCGCCTGCTGCACCCATGGTACGGCAGCAAAGTTCCTTGATTAATACGCCGGAATGAGAGTATAGTTCCTAGCCATATCGGCCTAGAAAATCTCAACTTTTCATTTTCCGTCGGTCTTAGTACACGATGTAACTACAGAAGAGTCAAGTTTTAAATAGGAAAAAAACAAAAAAGACAACATTACTTGTGATGTGAACAAAGTCCTCAGGCCGGACTCAAGCACAAAGACATGATGCTGAGACAGAATGAATCTCTCACTGACCCTGATTTTACAATTGCACAACTTAAAGTATTTGAGTGTACTGTAACATGCTATTCATTTAGAGTTTTATTTGACCTTTTTGGCCTTTGCAGTTGGACTGCATTATTTTTGCAGTATCCAAGTGATAAATATATACAAACATTCAGTACTATTCAATATTCAGCACTATACTATTAAGAGGTTTCGTGAATTTAGTTTGAGTATTTGGATTTGTGTTTAAGGTTTTGAGGAAATGAGTGATGGTTTCAAAAAATGTGTTTTAGCAATTCAGAAAAACTGTAATGCAAAAAACAAACAAAAAAAAGGTACCCCTGCTTTTCAACCGTACTGTAAATATGTTATGTTGTTGTATGTTAAGTATGTTAAGCTGCTAAAAAAAAAAAAAAAACCCAGCACACATAGATATTTGCCTGCTGCCTTGATTTTGCTAAAAAGATATTCAGAGAAAAAAAAAAAATATATATATATATTGATGAGTCAGAAATAGAGGTCCTTTCCCAGCTTCCTGTTTCAATAGAAATCAAGTCATTTGACATTCTATCGTGGGTTTAATGGTGTTTCTCTGGAGTGCATGCTCAAGTGTGCAAATCCCCATCTGTCGCTTGTTCTCACAAACACAAGGGCTTCCCCTTCTAAATGAACATGTGCTGCTGTAGATTTGTCTCGGTGGACCGCACAGCCTAAAGGGAATCCAGTGCGAAGTCTTAACAAGGCCAAACTGTGAACTCTTAATTAGGAGATACCCATAGAGAGAAACAGACACGAGTGGTAATGTGGGTGAAGATGATATGATGGTAGAATGATGCAAACTGGCAATTTCAAATGGAGAAAAAAGTATTTAAAAGTGCATGATGATGAAGGGGAGACAGAGCGCTTGGAGGGACATGTATAAATTACCAGTGCTTAGTCAAAGAAATGTAAATGTAATGAGGGAGTAAGCTGGAGAATTAAAAGTGTTAAAAGCACCAGTAGATTTGGGACTGACTGAAGCTGTAGAATTAAATTCAAACATGCTGACTGAGACACGCTCTCCACTTAACCGAATAATACTCTACTGGAGGTGTAAATGTGTGTGTGATACGCCCATGCACACCTGCAGGCATGGATGCATAATAAACCTCTTTTTGAGCTCCGGGCATCCAGTCCTCTGGCGTTGTTTGATTAACGTCAATTAAAATGTACAGATGGTGAAGTATTGTACAGGGTGTTTGAATTAATTACAACCAATCAGATCAAGACAAGAATGGATTGGGCTGATTTTAACACTTGCTGCATGCATACAGCAGCGTCTAACTAAATCTGCTCATTCAGATCATCACGCCCTGTCTGTGCAGGAAATGAGGACAGATGGTTTCCTGGAGCGGCCAAAGTGAAAATACTGATAATCAGAGTTAAAATTTGTCATTTAACCACACATTTGTGTCGCACCTGCTATGTGCTGTATATGCACCCTGGATAGGAATTATAATACCTCAAATTTTATGGCTTTTAAGTAATCAGACTTAATGTACAAGAAAGAAAAAGACATTTTTAAGAGTGACTCAGTTCTAGAGACCAGCATATCAAAGAGACTTGTGGGTGTGGGCTTTTTTGGACTTGGGCCCATAAGCAAAAACGGTCAGAAAGCAACTTCATAGCAACCCCCTGACATCCACCCAGAACACCACAGCAACAGCATAGGCTGCGTTCTGATTGACAGTGTCCATACATGTTGTTCACTGCCCCCTGAGCACGGGATATCTGTTGAAGTTCACTTGACAAAATGTGTTCATTTGGAACACCCTGCAAAGTTATCAAACATAAACAACCCTTAAATCATGTATATTAGAGGAGTTTGAGCTAGATGGCATAATGTACTTATGTTCAATTAATATACTTGTAAAATGCATGTAGGTGTACTTATATAAATATGAATGTATTATTCATTTAGGGCTATAAATTCCACTTTGTAGGGCACTTATGGTCGAATGGAATGCACCTATAGTGATACACAAAAAAAAGCCTTTAGAAACCACAAAGCAATGTGCTTAAAGTGACACCGAACACATAAGCAACCACTTAGCAACCTCCTGCCAACAACTCAAGTGGCAGCAAGTTTTACATAGGCAAACCCTTCTCAGAATTATAAAAAGAATGAGTTCCTTATGAAAGCAAATTATTTTTTCTTTGTCAAAATAATCTTAAATTTCCAAATCGATCTCTATTCCAAAATAGTCTTAAAGGGATGAAAATTCTGCCGTTAATTACTCTCATGTTGTTCCAAACCCATAAGACCTTCGTTTATCTTCGGAACACAAATTAAGATATTTTTGATGAAATCTGATCTATGCATAGACAGCAATGCAATTGAAACGTTCCCAGGCCCAAAAAAAGGTAGTAAGGACTGCTTAAGTAGCTTCATAAAATTGCAGTTGAAGCACTTGTCACATGGACTATTTTAACAATGTCCTTAACTACCTTTTTTGGCCTGGGAACGTTTCAGTTGCATTGCTGTCTATGCAGGGTCAGAAAAATATCTTAATTTGTGTTCCGAAGATAAATGAAGGTCTTACAGATTTGGAGTGACATGAGAGTGAGTAACTAATTAATGACAAGACATTTTTGGGTGAACTATCCCTATGTTCCATTGGCAAACCCTACTCATTTCCTTTTTCTTTTTTTAAGAAATGTAAAAAACCTAGTTTCTTATTAATTCAAATGCTTATTTCTTTTTTCTTTTCATACATTCCTAAATTCTGTCGTTATTTCCTATTGCCCTACTATAGGTGATGCACTTTTTTCCCTGTCTGCTCAGTTTTCCATCACACATTAGCGGCAGTGAATGGAGCAATCAGTCATTCATTATGAAACAGGTGCTATGCAATCCCCATGTGATATTAAAGTGCTTAACAAGTGAATAATTATTTCATGGGCTGTTAAGAGACCTGTCCCTCTCTCTTACTGGATGAGATTCACAGCCATTGACCAGCACTGGCCACATGAGGGCGCTAAGGTTGCTGGAATGATTCAGTTTCCTGCTCTCTCCTTTGTGCTCTCCCAGAATTCACATTTAGACTTGCACTTACTTTCTCAATGGAGGACAAATGGAGAAGAATGAAGCACCTAAGTATTTTGAGTGACCTGCACATAGCCTGCTTCCTGTTTGTTCATCCTCTAGTGTTTTGTAAACATGACTCGTTGTATTCCCCTGTTGTTCCCAGAATACCTTCCGCTTCCCGGCAGCTTGGCTGACCATGTTTGACGCCGTGTTGATCCTCATGTTGATCCCCCTCAAGGATAAAGTGGTGGACCCCATCCTCAAACGCAAAGGCCTGCTGCCCTCCCCTCTAAAGAGAATCGCTGTGGGCATGTTCTTTGTCATGTGCTCGGCGGTGGCAGCTGGTGAGTCAACAACACACACACTATATGACACGTATTTAATGTATTATCAACACACACAACAAAGATTTATGGCTGAGTCTGTGAGCCTGCGCTTTTTGTTCTTCAGCTTGCTCTCTTGCCACACAAACTGTCTGTGTGTGCCGATTTGTGGGCTGGATGTATCAAGCTTCTTTATACATATTCACAAACTGAGACTCATGTGGGAGTGTTTGAGTGTGATAGCAGACATTTGCATACACACTTTAAATATATGTGCTCATTTTTGTGTCAAAAGGCCCGTCACGGTAGTGAACTTTCATTTCAGACTTCATAAGGTTAATATGCTGTGTGTTCTGTTATATGTGACATACTGTAACACACACATGCTACAAAACACTGAGACCTAAATTACACAATCATATATTCTTAACTCTAGGGCTGGGTATAGCCAACTACTTCATGATATGATACACTTCACGATTCAGTACATCGCAACATCATAAATATGCTAATCTCGAATGAAACAGTAGCAAACGTGTAAGGGAGACTTACTGCGCCACATGAGGGAGTGAATTTATGTGGTCAGCCGCTGTTCTAGTACTGTGTCTTAAGAAGGTTCCTCCAATTGTTACTAAAGATTGACTGATGTTATTTATTTATTTTTATTTATTTATTTATTTATTTATTTATATATAACATTATTAATAGTGTTTATTCATTTAAGAATGTACAGCAACATTCAGAACTGATTCTATCTTTTTTTTCTTCAGATTTTTGACATTATAATTAGATACAGTAATAATTAAAATAATGTACACTGACTCCACCAGGTTACCTGTTGGCAATAATACAATGTTACATTTTTATAACACTTTTAGACAGTGCTTAAGTCAGTTTACAAAGCATAAACATAAAACTACCTGACTACATTTAAAAAATTGGGGTTGTGAGATATTTGGAATGTTTTTGAAAGAAGTCAATTATGCTCACCAAGGCCACATTTATTTGATTAAAAATACAGTAAAACAGAAATAACAATTTAAAGTAACTGTTTTCTGTATTAATATATTTTAAAGTGTAATTTATTCCTGTGATGGCAAAGCTGAATTTTTAGCAGCCATTTCTCCAATCATTCTAATATTTAGCATCATTCTAATATGCTGATTTGCTGCTCAAGAAACATCTCTTATTATTATCAATGTTAAAAACAGTTGTGCTTAATATTTTTGTGAAAACTGTGAAGTTTTTTTCCCCCTCAGAATTCTTGATGTATGTAAAGTTCAAAAGAGCAGCATTTATTGGAAATATAAATATTTTGTAACATTATAAAAGTTATTTACTTTTAAAAAATTGAATGCATCCTTTCTGAACAAAAGTATTAAAAAAAGAAGAAGAAAAAAATAAAACCTTAGCGACTCCAAACTTTGAACGGTAGTGTAGACGGCACAGACAATATACAGTGCTGTGAAAACATCTGCTTGAATTTGATTTTGAGCACATTTGTACCATTTTGTGGGATCAGATTTTATTGTGGTTTGTGGTGGTATTTAGATGGTCTGGTGGTAAAATGGTGCAACTTTTTTTGGTGTTCAATTTCAATGGTGTGGAAAAAGTAATTGCCCTTAAGAAGCACCTGGATGATCCTCCGGGACAGACTAGATCATGTTATGGACAGACAAATCAAAAGTGGAACTTTTTACTAGACATGTGCCCAGTTACAGTTTGTTTGACGTGAACCAAACACTGCATTTTTAATCACAGCATTGTACATGCTACAGGCAAAGCATGACAGTAAGGCATCAGTCAATATAGTCCAGAGTGGTGCATGGATCCATCATCATGTGTCAAGTCAAAACAGAATCAATGTGGAAAATAAATTGTCCAAACATGTAGTCCCTGGTGTAACACACCCAAGACAACTCACGTCACAGATACACTGACATCGAAATGCTGAGCTAATATTATGAGTTTGGTGAGATATCAATGCATCCACACAGACAATTGTGTCAAATAGTGTTTTCTTAGTACTCTTCACCTTATTCTGAGAAATGAGTTCATCTCAGAGAGGTTACGACTTTTCCATTCGTCAGATAAGGTACAGTGCCTCCAAGATGGCAGAGATTCGATGTAGATTGACTCACCGACAAACACCCACATGCTCTTGACACATTCACACAGACCAATGATCTCTCCTCTGAATTCTGTCACTCCTGTCCAACCTTGAGCCGGCTCTACTGAACCCTGCAGAAGGTGGATCGATATTCCTGCTTGTTCTGACAGTTAATATTCATACAGCCCACCGTCCTGGAAAATACCAACCTGAATCAGCGCTTTTGCACTTTTCATTATTCTCACCTTCCAGAATTTTAGAATTTTGTGTCCGGAATTTTGACGATCCTCTCACTTGTTGTTTCTTCAAAGTCCCCCAAAACTGGGAATGTATCTCAAAACCTAGTGATCTATATAACTTGATAGCCTTTTTTGGCCATTTACGATAGATATGCTTAGGATTTTGGCCAAAATTAAGTGTCTTCATGGCTCAACAATAAGTTTGGCCTGTTGAGGCACAGTAACTGTCAATACATCTTATTTGTTTACCATTTTCTTTTGTTTTTATTTAGAAACTTATGCATACGTTGTTTCTCTGATGAATTGTTGTTGCAATTTTATCTGGTTTAAATGGATTAAGAATTTAAATTTCAAGAATGATTTGTTATAAGTTCAAGTGTGATAAATTACCAACAAATCATTCTATACCATTGTTTTCCAGTTTATAATTTTATAGTATGAAAAAGAACAAAAATTGTGTATGAAGAAAGTGAAATTAAACGTTTAAAAAGTCATGGGAATGCCATAGAAAGTTCTCTGTTTATTTGTTTATTTTTTCCAATTTATTCTCAGTTCTCAAGTTTTTTTCTTTGACTACAAACTATTCTTTAAATAATAAAAAAAAAATGTTAGTTATAAAATAATGAAAACTTATTGGTCAGAAAGAGCAGGAACTCTTAATTTGGTCTAACATTTTTTTTTACCTTATTAAAATAATTAAATCAATCTAATGTTTAATAGAAAGCATTTCTTTCTATCACACATTAATAAAATTTAGTTTTTATAGTGCCATAGAAATGTTGGCAGTACAAAGCTGCATTATCGTCCCAAATGAGCCAACAGAAAAAAAAAAAATCTTTAAGGCTGAGCCCTGATTTTAGATGGTAGCATAATCTTGCTAACTACAGTTTTGAGATGACCTTCACATCAGAAGTGCAAATAAAGCTCTTTGAGTAGGCGGCTCACTAGATTTTTAGGCACAGCAATCTCTCCAAAACTTCAGCACTTTCCTTCCAAGTGTTTTTGGCTTGCTTGTATGTCTGTCTGAAGTTCTGTACACAGTTGAGGCCTCGCTACTAAGACAACAAGATTGTGTCCACACATACACGAAAGTTCGAGTCACACATTGAGAGAGTCGTGGAGTGCCTGTTCGGAGGTTGTAGAAGAAGACACAGTTGACAGGTCGGCAGTATCTCATTGTTCAGTTTGACTGCGCCCAGCACTCCAGTCAGTCCCCAGTCCAATTCCAGCTCTGCCCAGTGGATTAAACCGAGTTTAGTCAGCCTGACAGTGTGCGCTGCGTCCAGACGTTGACATATTTCAGACTAAAGCGCTTTTTGAGTGAGATGAGTTTTGGGAGATGCGCTCTGGAGTGTGGGGAAATTATGAATATCTTTCTCTCCCACCCTGTCTGTCTTTGACTCTCTCCGACTCTTCTAAACCACTGTCAAACTCTGCATGGTGAGGGAGAGAGAGAGTTTAGACATTTTTAAATTCCTCATCTGTCTCGGCTGCCATCAAACTGAATAAATGTGGGTTTGTAGTCATCATGAGGGATTCTTTAAGTGGTAAACACCACAAAGTTCAGAAAAACTCAAAACAGTCAAAATAATGAGAGATTGACGTCGAGTGCTTTGCTGCATGATTGCAGTTTTCAGATGTTTACTTCACTTGATTTGCTCCCACTTTAATATACTGGTACCTGTTGACTAAAATGACTGATGCCTGATATGGTCTAGTCTTGTGTAGCCACTCTTGAGCATAAAGTGTAGTCCACGTCGCAGATAGATAGAAAGAAAGAGATTATCTAAGTGATGTGTAAAACAATATTTTATTTTATTTTAAAACTTACACTGTCAACTCTATACAACATAATCAGTGTGAGATTGTGCATGTAAACGTGTTAAAAATTGTAATATGACAAACTTTTCCAAATCTACCTTAGTGCTGGGCGGTATACCGGTTCATACCGAATACTGGTGTTTATTTTTGTTATGATATGAATTTTTTAAATACCGCAATACCGGTGTATGTCAGAGTAAAATACCGTGATATAAATTTTTGGTCATACCGCCCAGCACTAATCTACCTTCTAGGTCTTTCTCAAAAGCACTCATTCTAGTGAGTTCTAGATTCTCAGATCTTGTAAACACAACCTTTCCTGGTTTACTGATAAAAACCGGTGCACCCTGAAGCACTTCTGGATATTGAGTAAAGCCAATCAATCAGATTGTAGGTTGCAGTTATGAGAATGCGCTTGCCAATTTTGTGTGCACTAGACAGCATACCAACATACGGTTCAAGGACTGTCTGATTTAGAAGACTAATAACAGACCAGGAACTTGAAGACGTAAAAGTCAAGTAATTGTTGTTTTAAAGCCCTCTGAAATCAAAACTGGAGTTTTGTGGCTTTTCTTCCTTGTCTGTTAGTTTTAAGGTCATCTACAGGCTAGAGTATTCCTAAAAGCAAGTACAATTTTTATCTTTTTCTTCTTGGAAAACAGACTAAACCATAATAATGCATTTATCTTGTTTTCAGGGGCAAGCACACATTTTTTTGTCCAAGAAAATGGTCAGGCATTACCTGCTAATTCCATTTATGTCTGACATGCAATTGAAAGTAGCAAAGTTTTTTTTCCCCCTTTTTTTTCTTTTTTCAGGTTGTGATGTAAACTAAAGGTTGGCTTTCAGAA